ATTAAATCGCGGCGATGAAATCGCGTGAACTCTGCCCAAGGCCTGAAGGCCCCTAGAATAGCCATGATTCTCATTTTAGCTCATGCTCTCAGCTAAAGCAATGATTTCAACATTCAATGGCTATCCCCTTTGATTCTGCTGTTTCACTTACTTGATTAACTTTTCCAACGCTTTCGCCGCATAGTGCACCACATCATGCCATTGGTCCTTCTTAATCATGATTAGATACATAAGTTTGATAAATTTTAGATGGTCTTCTTTTGGAAATCGAAATCCATGGGCGTCAATGAATCTAAAATTTGTTAAATTGATTATTTGCGCTACAAACGTTCCAGATTACCCACTTCTTTAAAGCATGAATATAATTTCGCAGTGCTGGTCTGTTTTCGTTTACAATCGCCGAAATAAGTAGGCCATGCTTGATGTGCTCAAGATGACCGTCCAAACACTGAGACAGCTCCTGATGGTACGGTAGAAGTACATATTTCTTATCATGGCGTCCAAAATTCCGCTTTTTGTCCTTCTCGTAATTGACACCAGCATCAACGACGACGAACGATGGCTTCTGTAAAACATTCTCGTTGCCAGAGGTTCGTCCGAAAAGAGATGATAAGCCACCATTCGCACAGAAGCCTGGTTCTGCCTTGTTCTGGAGCGTTAAGTATGTAAATGAGTTGGAACTCACATTGTCCTCGTATTTATAGCAGCTGGGTGTGTTATCATGCTGTGGTTGGCAATACTTCATTTCTGAAAAGAATCCTGTAAGCGGTGGTTGGGATAGCAGACAGACAATCATGCAATCCGGAAATTTCTCTGCTAATCTGTGAATCATACATTTTTCTGGGGACGTAGGCGAAGTCACTTAGATAAGATAGGCATGGCATGCCATCACTTAGGCACCCGCCATACTTGATCCTCCTGATCCTCTTAATCCGCTTGATCCGCTTGATCCGCTTGGTCGCTTCGCGCAAAACGCAAACTAATTGCAAACTAATTTGCCATCTGGCGTCGCGTACAGCAAAATTGCGCAATTATACAAAATTCCTTTTTACCTACCGGCGCCAAACGACAAACGCTGGTGCACGCGTTGCACCAAGCGGATCAAGAGGATCAAGAGAATCAAGCATGGCGAGTGCCTTATCTTACTCACATACCGATCGATAGAGAGCACGTACGTGAGGGAGAGGCAGAGC